CTATAAAATGAATTTCTCCCAGTGTTTCAATGCCCCATTTCCACAAGGTCAGATGACATTTCACCACCAGCACTTTAAGAGCAGCTTTAGTTTTCAGCTCCTGAGCACACAGAGTCACCCAGCTCTGATCACTCTGAGCCTTCTGGCCTGGCCCAAAGCCCCAGAGCCCCTCACCTGGAGGAATGGACAGTGTGGCTGATGGTCACCACATATCCAGCCCCTCCCACGTCCAGGTAGGGCCCAGTAAAGGTGATCAGTCCTGGATTGGCCACTGCATGCAGGTACCTGAGAGAAGCCAGAAGAAATGCTCAGAATTAATGCCAAAGTCTGTGAATTCAAGACAGAATCCTTGACTTGCCCAAAATAACACTAAATTCTGCACACTGTGAACAACAGGCACCAAAGTATTGGTTTTTAATATCAAACAAGTACTTAAACACAACTGGAACTAACTAATCCAAACTAACCCAGACTGGCCCAATAAATGGTGCCCCATTACATCCAGCTGCATTAAAAAAGCTCAGTTTACTCCTGCACAGAACACATTTAATGTAATTTCAGACATTTTCCCCCAGAACAAGGCAGGACTTGGTGCCAGCAGACTCTCCAACTGAAAGCAAACCCTGGCAAAATGATTACATTGCAAACTGAGGAGAAAAGACAGAACTGAGGCAAGGAAATTCAGAAACATCAGACAGGGATTATAAATTACAACCTCTTAAAACTTCCATCAGCATAAAATAAGCCAGACTCATAGGACAGTTGATAAAACTGTCATAGGAAAGCTGATAAAACTTTTGCAAACACTTTTCTGTAAGAAACAGTGATCACTTTGCTTCTGCCTACCCAGAGCAGCAAGCCATGAGCAGCTTAACCCATTCCTGCTTTATTCCCAGGGTTTGACTTGCACCTTTTTCCCATAACACCACAAATTCCAGGGGAAACACGGGGCAGGTGAGCTCTGTGCCTTTCCCAGGGTGGCAGCACCTGGCTGGTTCCTTGCCACACATCCCAGCCTTTGGAGCACACTCAGAGCCTGCTGCCACCTGCAATGTCCCCAGATCTCTGCCCAAATCACAGGCTGCTGCATCATTAATCCCTCCTTGAAAGCAGCGAGGAAACCCAGAGTAAACAAACAAAAACAACCAAAAAGGAGCTCAAGGAGCTCAAATACTCCTGAATTAGTAATCCCTGGAGGGAATGCTCATTTTCTGAATATTTATGTCTCCATCTGCCATAGCTGGGCTATGAAACACCAACTACCCCACAAAATAAAAAGAGAAATGAGAACCAATAAATGTTTGAACATTTAAACCCTGAGGTTTTTCCCCACGACAAAAACATTTTGAACTAAATTTTAAAAAACCAAAAAAACTCTATGAAATCAACCCCAAAACCAAAACCAACTCTGAACATTTCCCTTCTTGCCCTCGGAGATGATTCAGTTAAAACACCTGAACTTTTTCCCCACGACGGAAACATTTGTAACTAAATTTAAAAAAACAAAAAAAAAACCAAAAAAACTCTACGAAATCCACTCTAAAAATGAAACCAACTCTAAACATTTCCCTTCTTGCCCTCGGAGATGATTCAATTTAAACTCCTGAGCTTTTTCCACACGACGAAAACATTTGTAACTAAACTAAAAAACCAAAAAAACCCAAAAATACCTGTAAAAAATCAACTCTAAAAATGAAACCAACTCTAAATCCCTTCTTGCCCTCGGAGATGCTTCAATTTAAACACCTGAACTTTTTCCTCAAGACGGAAACATTTGTAACTAAATTAAAAAAAAACAAAAAAAACCCAAAAAACTCTACGAAATCCACTCTAAAAATGCAACCAACTCTAAACATTTCCCTCCTTGCCCTCGGAGGGGATTCAAAGCTTTGCTGAAGGGACCCTACAAGCTCACCATTGTCTCCTGGTGGGATCAAAAGCTTTGTCCATGAGGGAGCCGGGGTAGATGCGGAGCACGCCGTTGGGGGTTGCTATGTAACGCCTGACAATGTAACTGTTGAGGCCACTCATCTCCATCTGGGTCATCCATTCATCCGTGCCATGACTGGTTGCCATTACTTCATTCCTGACAGAAAACTGCAAAAACAAAGGCAGAGCTGGCAGGGTTCCTGCAGTACTTGCATGGTAAGATAATAAAAGCTTTTTTTTTTTTTTTTTTTTTCTTCCCTCCTTCCTCCCTCCCTCCTCCTCTCCCCATCCCGAGGATCATCTCGGCTCAATTACTTTGGTTCAAGGCTTCTCACACCACACATTCCAAGCAGATTATTAGCCATGGAGGAATATTGTTGTGTTATCTCTGTGCCTTTTAGGTTGTTTTTTTGGGGTTTTTTTTGAGTAAATACAAATAATGTGCTGCTTGCATAGAAAATAGAGATTTCACATTTGTATGGCTAAGAACGCTAAAGGTGTTCCCGCTAAGAATTTAATTTTTCTAGTGTTTGTTTCAACAAAGTTCTGCCCCCTCTCCTCTCTTCACTCTTGGGTCAGATGTTGGGAAGGAATTCCTGGCTGGGTTGTCCAGAGGAGCTGTGGCTGCCCCTGAATCACTGGAAGTGTCCTAAGCCAGGTTGGAGTGATGCTTTTTTTGGGATTTACCTAAAAACAGAGTTCAGACAGAATTAAGAGAATAAAAAGTGGTTGTATTTGTTGAAGGGTTTTCAGGTGCATTTTGGGCAGACAAAGCCTCCCCAAGGGGCTACACCCAAAATGGACAATGGGTCACAAATTTTCACACTTTTATAAATGTATAAAATTTGGTCCATTTGCATATTGGGGGTTGATCTCCCAATTACAGCTTCAGGTAATGAAGTCATTTACCCCAAATTTGCTCCTCCCCAATTCACTTTTATTTACATTTCTCAGGGCCTGAGGCACTGAGGGATCCTTGATTCCCTTGGAGAGGAATTGTGTTTAACCAAAATGGGAAAGCAGCAGCTCACCCTGTACACGAAATTTAGATTTATACACTAAAACATTGCAGGATCACAAACAGATGAAAAACAGAAAAGCTAAAATCCAAAAGCACCAGGAGCACCCTGGGATAGTGGAAGGTGTCCTGGCCATGCAGGGGTGGGATGGGATGGGCTTTAAGGTCCCTCCCTGTTGGAACCCTGGTCACTGAAAATTTTAGACTTTCTGTACTGACAGGAATTGACCCCTAGAAAAACACTGCATTTAACCTGAGGCCGTGGAAAAAGCTCCCAAAACTGAAAAATAAAACTAGAACTGTAAGTGTGTAGTTTAAATAAAAATGTGTAATATCACATAGTGAAAAACTTAACTTTAAGGTTTTATAGTAATATATATAGAAAGCAAAATGGAGGTTTTAAGGCACCTTCTTCATATGTTTGAGTACTATTGTGTAATTTAATAGAAAATAAATAATTGTGTAACTGTGTAATTGAAAAAAAAAGTCTGCATTGTGAGCCACAGGTGGTTGGTTATTAGTTTAAAAGTAAAAATAATTTAAGTGGCATTTCTTAATTGGCCAGTTTATCCTTAAAAAAAGCCTTGCAGAGAGAGAGAGATATGGCTCCAATTTTAATTTCTTAGCTTAAAGTGCTGTAGAACTCACAGCTTGTTAGATTTTAACAGAAATTAAAACTAATAAACATCTAAACCCAAACAAAAAGATTTGCAAAAAGAAAAACAAACCACCACCCGATATGGGGGAAAAATAAAAATAACACCTAATAATAATAAAAAAAAAAAATAACCCCTGCCAATGCAAAGTGCTGGGATTCTGGGGTGCCTGCAGGGAGGCCAGGTGTGCTGGGGGCTCACCTTGAGGCCGGGGTTGGCAATGAGCCGTGTGTTGTCACTCAGGTAAGCCGTGTAGTGCTCCACCATCCTCTTGGTCTCAGGCTGGCTCAGGTGCTCGTAGGGGGAGGAGAAGCTGCCTGCAGACAGCATCACTGTGGGGCTCTCTGCAAACACCACAACATCAGAAATGTCAGCCTGGTTGATGCCTAGAGGTGCTGGAAGAGAGGCTGAAGAGTTAAGGGGAATAAAATGGATATTTATTGAGGGGTCTTCAAAGGTCACACACCCTGGCAGAGCCTGGATGGCTCCAGGACGGAGCAAATGAGAGCTTGGCCATGAGATCTCACATTTTTATAGCTTTTACTCCATTTGTGTACAACTAATAGCCAATTAATAGCCTCAAATCAGGAAGTTTCAGCCTCCTTGCTTGCTTGCCCACCCTCCTCTTTCCACATTGTTTGTGCTTAGGGACTGAAGTTTGAGGAGATTGTCCTTGAGTTCTTAAAATGGGACAGTTTTGTCTTCACCATCTGTGAGGAACCCTCAATATAAAACTAAAAGCTGCACACTCAAGCAGAACAGAAAAAAACTTAAAAAAGGATCATGATGATCTGGACATATTGCACTGTACCATGGGAGGGTTCCTGATGTGGTGTCCAGCAATGACCCTGCTGTTCTCCCCACTCTCCCACACCTCAGCACACATGCTTCATTAGAAAGTTGTTAAAAAAACATAATAAAAGCTTCCTGAAAGGCAGAAGTACACACCTTGATCCAATACATCTGCCAGTACAACATTTATTCACTGTGGCTTTTTCACCTTCACTCATTCTCAGATTGAACAGAATCAAAAGTTCTGGACAGACATTGGAGTGAAGAACCAGGAGAAATTCACTGGTTTAAAAGTTCTTTGATGCTTTGCCTTTTTTTTTAAGTCAAATTAGCCTCTACCAAGTGCCCAACTCCTGCAGGACACTCTGGGCTGGGAGGAAGGGCAGGAAACATCAATTTTTCCACCTAACCCAAAGCACTTCCCAAAAGTCCCCTCCTAAACCCAGGCTGCACATGAATTCTTGCCCTTCTTGCCTCAAAACACAGAAGTCACAGCATCAGCCCCCTCCTCTGATCTCTGTGTGTCATTTGGTGTTAATGCCCTTGTTCCCAAAGCCTCAGTAATTCCTGAATTACTACTTTTTGGGAGACTAGAGAAGTTGTTTTCCCTTCAGAAAAGATGCTGGGCTAAAGAAGAAATTAAGTATCCTTGTTTAGGTTAGATATCCCAGAGGAAAATGAAAATGAGCATTTTCAGTTTCACAGAATGAACATCTGGAGAATCCCAAGTGCACAAGAGGAGCTCCCCAATAAAAGTGCAGCTGTCTGGAGTGATTTTCAGAACAAACTCAAAAGTAAACTTTCATCATGCAAAATCTGCAATACCAGACAGCTTTTCCTTGTTAAAAAAGAGAAATGATTATGATGATGGAGGGCTGAGGGTAGAGAAGATCTTTTCTGAGGATGTGACCCATGGAATACAAATTCCCTGTGTGGAATGGTCCCCAGAGGAAAATGTGCAGTGCAGTGTGTGAAGTGCTCTGCTTTTAGTCACATTCCTCTCAAACACAGCCCCACACATGTGCTGCAGTCCCCACTTCCAAACTTCTACTCCAGCCCTTCATCTGCTTCCCAGAGCAAATATTCTGATCTTGCTTCACGTGAAGTTTTTCCACTTGACAGCTCAGGACTGCATTTTTGGGATATTCTCCATTTAAATCTTTCTGGATGTAAGATAGCCAAGATTAGATACCACATTAAAGAAAAAAAAAAAATCCCTGTGTTTTAAACAACTGGCAAAGCAATTTCCACAGGTCTGTCAGGTCCCTCCTCCAGTCTGATCTCACTAAGTTATTCTGCAGGGCTACAAAAAGCTAAGAAAAATCTCATAACTCACTAATCCAGCATGAGACCTTCAAACCTTCTGCTACAAGCAGAAATATTTCATTCAGAACTTCTTCTAGTACAGATTTGAGAGACCTGCCAAGATTATGACAGCTTGCAGTGTAGGATGTTTATGTAAAAGCCCTCTGTTCTTGGGATATTTCTGGGTTTGAAGTTCTCCATCCTTCCCTGACACTGGAACTGCCAGGGAGATTCTCCCTTTTCCCCAGCAATGTTTGGAATCACTCAGGAAGAGCAGAAGCACTTTAGGCTATCTGAACCTGAGAATTTTGAAGCAGGTGAGGAGGGTCTGGAAAGCACCAGAGCACTGAAGGTCTTGTTCTTCTGACTCTGAAGGTTTTCAGTGCTTCTGGCAGTGAAAAACTTCCATGGATCCAAAGCAAAAGAGCAGCAGAGTCCTGCACAACTGGCTGGGACTTCAGCCCACTGTGTTACTGCTCAGGGAGGAGCTTTAGAGGCAGGAGAGGATTTGATTTAAGCTCGGTGAGACCCCTCTGCTCCTCCCACTGCACTGCCAGGGACCCTGCTGGACTGCCAGGGCATTGATCTCCTACTCTGATGAGCAGCCCCACTCATTCATCCTGCAAGATGTTGGTTAAAACCCAGTGCTGATGGTCACAAAGTTATGGATTCAATCCCTGGATGGGCCCTTCACTCAGGATGATCCCTGTGGGATCCAGCTCAGACTCTGCTGTGATTCTGTGGAAGAGCTCAGCACTGAGCAGGTGAGAAGGTAAAATCTGACCAGAAAATCAGCCTTGGAAATAAAAGCTTCTCAAGGGAAGAGTATTTCCAATGTTTTGTGGGAAGAGCTTTCCTTTGTGCTGCCACACTCTGCAGGAGGTGTGGCTGTGCCAGGGGAGGCTCAGGCTGGACATCAGCAGGAATTTTATTCTGGAAAGAGGAGGGTGGGAGTGCCCATCCCTGGAGGTGGCACTGAGTGCTCTGGGCTGGGGACAAGGTGGGGATTGGGCACAGCTGGGACTGGACCCTGGGGGTTTTTTCCCAAGCTGGATGCTCCTCCTGTGTCCCTGAGGTGGCCAGGACAGGCTGGCAGGAGCCCTCACCCAGGGTGGCCAGCTGCTTGAAGTGCAGGCAGGCGTTGGGCTGGCCCAGCAGGTCCAGCCTGTGGTAGAGCAGTTTGCTGCTGGGCACAGTGTTGAGGTTCTTCAGCTGCTTCACAGGAATTTCTGGCTGGATCACCACCACACACAGGATAAAGGATGTGTCCTGCACCTGCAAAACACCAGCCAGTCACCAAACAGAACCCAAATGTGTTGGATGAACAGAATTTCTGTGTGTCACAGCCACTGAGTTCTACAAAATCCATTTTTCCACAGTTAACATAGAAAATAAAAATCCTGTCATTTGTTTTTTTCCCCGAAAACCAAACAAATTGTTGCTCAATTAGCAATAATTTCTAATTCTAACACTGTTTCATGGATATTTTTTGTCATTAACAGAGGAGAGGCTGCAGGTTTCCAGTTGCTGGATACACACTGGTGTTACTTTTATGGAAAGTACAGACAAATTAACTCTCAAATGCAAGATTTTATTACTTCCACTCTTAATTGTGTGCTGCATGTGCCACATGTTTTACTGGTTTGGGTATTTTAAGGACTCTAAATTACACCAGATCAGCAAACCTTGGAGTGTCCCAGCTGCTCTGCAAAGAGAGTTTGGTATTAAATGCAGCATTACAATCTTAGAAAATCAGCTCCAGACACCTTCCTGTATGAATTTCTGTTAAACAATGACAGATTTAATCTCTTAAAACTGCTCAGCTTAACCCTTTAGGTTGGATTTAACTCAATACTGTGAAATGATCCACAAATACCTCCTTGAGTTTGTTGGCACAAAGCAACCAATTATTGACTGGCATCAGTGAATTCACCTGGATGATGTTTAACCTCAGATCTCATTTTAATCCCTGGGTTGAGATGAGTGCTCAGATATTCCCAAACTGAAGGAAGGAGAGAGGAAGAGCCATGAATTCCCTCTGTGCCATCCCACACTTGTTTTCCTTACCATTTTCCAGGCATAGCTGACATTGTAGGCTTCTTTCCCAATCTCCCTCAGCTTGTTGACGTGCCAGGACAGTGAGGAGTTCACAGGAACTGTGATGATCTGGCTGCCCAAGGGAATGCTGCAGTGGCAGATAAAACACCCACCAGTTTATTAAACACTGAGCAAAACTGTTAGGACTTGCAGCAAAATCCTTCTGTTGTGTGTTTATATAATTATCATAAGAATTGAAGGAATTAAGTGTTATTTGTGCTTGGTGAAAGAAAGTGTGTGCGTGCTGAAAATGCATTTGTGTCCCCCCACATTTTGAGCTTCAAAATTCTCAGATTAGGCAAAGGATAAAGAAAAACCCAGATCAAATAGTGAGAAATCTTCCTGACAGGGAAGAGAGAGATAAGAAGGAATATTCCCCAGATCAGCTGGGGAACACTACATAACAAATGACAACTGAAAAAAAGCTGGAGGAAAAATCAAACCAGAATTGTTAATGTGGAAAAAAAAATCCATCCAAGAATCTAGATATTGTAGGAAAAGGAAATTTTACTTTATATACTGTTAAAATTCCTCTAGAATTCCTCCCAGTGCTGCTCATTTGGGAGTTGCTTCCCATTCCTTACCTGAGGATGTTCTGGCGAACCAGCTCGAATTTGGGAATGTTCTCATAGTGGATGATGTCAGTGTGGAGAGGAGGCTCAGACAGCAGGTAGGGCCTGGTCAGGGAGGGATGCATCAGAGTGTATCCTAAAAAACAAACACACAGTCCCAAACTGAGCCTTGGATAGAGATTTGAAGGGGGGAAAAAAGGAATATACAGTAATGACACCAAATTTTGGCAAAGATGGCCAGTGACCAAACAATCTCGTCATCAAAGGGGTTGCAAATGAAAACCAGCTTGAAAAATTCAGCAATAAAATAAGCTGGATCACAGGAAAAGAGCTAGACACACACATTAACACCAGCTTTCCCCCTTTCCCAGAAAACTTTGGATGTCACAGGTGTAGGAAATCCCCAAAGCAAGAGTTTCCAAACCAGAACTCCAGGACAGAAGTTTCAAGTCATGAATCCACCTAAAATCTCCAGCAACATTCAGGCAAAACTAACCAACAATACATAATTAAGCTTTTAATAAATATTATCATTCATTACTTAGAGACCTGAGAATTCAGACCTGGTGGTTCACGAGGTCAGTGGGACTCGAGGAGCTGATCTGAGTCAAAATTACCTTTATTATCAATCAGGAAGGTGTAGGATCCCAAGGAATCCTGGTAATAGGTGACATCTTCCAAGATATAGGCAAGATTGACATCTACTCCAACAATTCCCAGCAGGAGGTTCCCAAAGTAACAGGGTTTACTGACAGTCATTATCAGGCCTTGGAGAGAGAAAAACACCACAAAACCATCAGAAAGATCATCTGGTTAATTAATTTGAGAGGAAACAGAGCATTTTGAGATGTAACAATTAAATTTTATATCTATTTATATCTATATCTATTCTTTATATCTATTATAAAATTGATATATTTATATCAATTAAATTTTAAATCTATTTTAGGATGGAATATGGCCAGGGAAGCTCAGCAGGGTTTCTGTTGTCAGCCACTCTCCCTAATTAGTTAATTTGTGTTTCTGATAGTGACCTGAAGTATATTAATCAATGTATTAAAATATACACCACAATTGATGTTTGGGTCTCCAAGTCTCCAAGTAGATTCCTTACAGATAAGAAATAAATTTGTGTGAAAAACCAACAGAGTATTTTCTTTCTTTAACAGAACTTAAGGCCATTAAAAAATAGAATGGAAGAGGAGGGAAGTGACTTTTTCTTTGTAAAGCAACAGTTGGGATGAGCTGTTGCTCATCTAATGCATAATCAGAATATTAAATCTCTGCTCAAAATCCCAGTATTGCCACTGTGGCTGGGAATCACATCCATAATTACCCAACAGTGTGGGATTGATCTCATCCCTGAGGTGAGAACTCTGCAACACCTTCTTACTCCTGTTTTCTCCACCAGTGTTTGGAAACTCAGCAGCTTTTCCCTCACCTCAATAAAAAATTCATTTGCATGGACAAGCCCTTAAGTACACTCTGAAATCCATGGAAGACAAACCTGCCCATTGCACCATTCCCAATCCTTTGTTGCTCACATTTTCCATTGGATATGGTTTGGGGAGGGAGCAATTAACAGAGTTTAATTACTGAGGGAGGGAATGCAGGAAGGAGCAAAAGCTCAGATTTGCTCAGGAACAGCTTTAAATTCAGTTTGGGTCTCAGAACTGAGTCCAGGTGTGCTGAACCAAAGGTGCACCACCACTGAGGCTGGGCAGCTTGGGACAATAATTAACAATAATTAACAAAAATTAACAATCTCTCCTTGTGCCATTTGCAAGGCTGCTTTTATCCTGCCCTTACACAGGCCTGACATGGAGGCCATTCCAACATATTTCCCTCCAGTACAAAGAATTTCTCTTCACAGATTAATTAATGGATGTTGTGCATGTACTCATACACAGAAACAAATTTCACCCCAAGAATCCAAACTAAATCTCCATGTCTTGTTACCACTTTTTTTTCTCAAATAAACCTTCTGCAGATAAAAATGGTACAAAAATCCAAAATAATCTGTTGACTCCATGTCTTGTTGCCACTTTTTTCTCAAATAATCCTCCTGCAGATGAAAAAGCTATAGACAAAAATTCGAAGTATATCAGTTGACTCCATGTCTTGTTACCACTTTTTTCCCAACTAAACCTTTTGCAGATGAAAATGCTACAGACAAAAATCCAAACTAATCCAATGGCTTCGTGTCTTGTTAGCACTTTTTTCCAACTAAACCTCCTGCAGATGAAAATGCTACAGACAAAAATCCAAAATAATCTGTTGACTCCATGTCTTGTCACCCCTTTTTTCCCAACTAAATCTTCTGCAGATGAAAATGCTGCAGACAAAAATCCAAACTAAATCTGTTGACTCCATGTCTTGTTACCACTTTTATTCACAACCTTCTGCAGATGAAAATGCTGCAGACAAAAATCCAAACTAAATCTGTTGACTCCATGTCTTGCTACCACCTTTTCCCAACTAAACCTCCCGCAGATGAAAATGCTACAAAAAGCCAAAATAATCTGTCGAGTCCATGTCTTGTTACCACTTTTTTCCCAACTAAATCTTCTGCAGATGAAAAGCTACAAAAATCCAAACTAAATCTGTTGACTCCATGTCTTGTCACCACTTTTTTCCTAACTAAACGTTCTGCAAATGAAAATGCTACAAAAATCCAAACTAAATCTCTCGACTCCATGTCTTGTCACCCCTTTTTTCCCAACTGAACCTTTTGCAGATGAGAAAGCTGCAGACAAAAAGGCCTGGAGGCACAGCTGGACCCAAACCCTGGCAGGATTGCAGCGTATTTGGGGATGTGGCAGCCGAGCGATCCCCGGTGGCTTGGCCAAGGCCAGCACTCACCGTCGCCCATCTCGTCGGAGAAGGGCAGGCTGAACACGGCCTCGTCGATCATCCTGTTGGGCAGGTTGGTGTAGAACCTGCCCACGGTGGTCTCCAGGTTGCTGAGCTGGTTGAGGACCATCATGCTGCCCTTGGTGACGGGCAGGGAGCTGCGGTCGGCCACGCCGTACTTGGCCGAGTTCTGCTCGGCCAGGTCGCGCAGGAAAGCCAATTCCTTCAGCCCTGTCACCCCCTCTGCCAGCAGCAGGGGCACAAAACACAAGGAAAAAAGGCAAAAAAAAGCTTCATTTGTATCCAGCCTTCTGCCTTGAGGAGCTGGAGCAGAGGCTGCACACTGAGTTAAGGAAATAAAATGGGTATTTATTGTGAGGCCTACAAAGGCCTGCAAAGCCACAGCCCAGCAATATCAGTGCCACAGTGGTGGCCCCTGCCTGGGTGGCTCCAAGGTGGAAGGAAAGGAGGGGGTTGGTCACAAAATCTCACACTTTTATAGGTTTTGGTTAATTTGCATGAACCCACCCTCCACTGTAGGAATCTCTGCCTTGGGACGGTTGGGACAAACTCAGGTGCTCTCTTTATTCTGGTCTTAAAATCTGCAGTTTATTTTGTAGGGTGTGGGTTTATATGAGGCCCTGCTGGGAACTGCAGCCACAGCTCAGAGCAGGGCAGAGAGAGGAACAGAGTGAGAGTAAAAGAAGAAAGCTTAAGTGAGCTTAAGAAAGTAAGAATGAAGAGAGTAAGAGCATGAGAGAGCGATTTTCCATTTACAATGCATTAAATCTTCTTCTATGCTGAATATTCTAATTTTCACTAACCAATCTAATACAAGATACAAATTCTCTAACATTTGCATGCAACCTATAGGAATCACTATATTACCATGTTTTACTGCTTTTCTTATCTCTAAATTTTATCTGGGACCCTTCCTGCCATGCCTGGGGAGGATGTCTGTTTGATTTTTGGTATTTGCAGCATCAAACATTATCTAAACAAAGGGGCCTTCAGGCATTCAGTTGCTTTCAGCCCCTCAGTCGAAAATTGCTACCATTTCTATTTCGCTTCTATTTTCCATATTCTCAAAATCTTTTGCTAGGCACTCCTATTTATAAGGTTTTCCTAATTCATCCTTCCCAACACTCCACCTTTCCACGGAGTTTGTGCTCAGGGCCTGAAGTTTGGAGAAACTGTCCTTGAGTTGTTAACTAGAATAGGAACTGTTCTGTCTTCATCACCCCAGCACATCAGAAAAGCACATCCAAGGAGAACAGGAAAACTGAAAACTAAAGGCATCACCTGCTCCCAAGGAATGCTCCGTGCTCTCTATCACAGGACTGAAAATTCTGTATTCTTATTTAAGTGCTTCAAGATTATTTGAGGAAAATTAATTACCTAATGCCGAATTTAATGAGCTTGCCTCTCTCCTGGTGTTGCACAGTGCAAAAAATTTGCCATGCTGTTCACATGCCCACTTTAAACAAAGCCCTTGGAACAAAGAGTCGTGTGCCCCATCAATCCACAGGACAGCTCTTTGTTCTCCATCCCTGGCTGCCCACAGGCAGGACCAGGAGCGAATCCTCCACCCTGGGAGATAACAGCCTTTGTTCTCCAGCTGAATCATTCCAGTCTCACACTTCACTTAAATCCCAGGCTCAATTCCTGCACACAAATCAAAACCTTTTTGCACGCCCCAGTGTCAAATGAGTATTAAAATTTACAACCAAATCATACATTAGGTTAAGCATTAATTTCCTTGGCTATTTTCAGTAATACAGCAAACTTCCTTCATGCTGAAAATGCTTTTTTGGAAAATGGGTGGGTGATCTTCATGTTTAACTTCACTCTCAGATTAGTTCTCAGGTTATCAAAGCATTTCAGACTTGATTTGATCTCCCATTCACCCTCCCTGGCTGATGAAATCACACTCAGTCCCAGATTGCTGCCCCTGGAAGCCCCCAGGAAGGTTTGCATTGGAATAATTAACAAATTTAACTCAGTCTGGACAATCCAGGTCACAATATTTTATATCCCTGCAGCTGCACTGGGATACACTAGGATAGAGTGGCACAGTTATAAATATCAAAGTAACAACATCTGGATGCAGCTCCTTAAATGTGCCAAAATCCGTGAACAAACTGCTCCCAGCAAGGCCTGGAACTACCCCTGAACGAGCTTAATAAAAAAAAGATCTGTGCTGTGCCAGGAGAGGGAATTTTATGGCCTGGAAATCACAAGCATCTCTCACCATTCATGAGGGCATAAGTGAGGATCATCACTGAGTTATTGAGGAAGCTGTTTTCTTCGTTGATGACACGTAGAGTGGCTTTTTTATCCTCTTCTGAGGAATCTTTTGATGTGATCCCAGCCGAGAGATAAATGATGACCATGTCAGTATCTAAAACACAATCACAGACACAGCACAAAGTGCATCAGGTTTTTCATTTGGGTGAGCCTTGTGCTGAGAGCCCTGAAATCTGCTCACAGCAGCTTCATCCAGGGATCCACAGCATTTGCAGGGGATAAACACACTGCAGCCACATGGACTCCAGCCTTTGGTGTTCAAGTTTCACTCCTGGCACTTGCCAAGCTTCTGTTTGGTTCAGTGCCTATTGGCCACCCAGGAGCTCTGGGGTCTGAGCAAACCCAACAGGCACCTTCTGGCTTTGGAGTCATGGAATGGTTTGGCTTGGAAGGGACTTTAAACCCCACCCAGTGCCACCCCAGCCATGGCAGGGACACCTTCCACTGTCCCAGGGTGTCCCAACCTGGCCTTGGACACTGCCAGGAATCCAAGAGCAGCCACAGCAAATCTGGGAATTCTATTCCAGGGCCTCCTCACCCTCCCAGGGAACAATTCCTTCCCAAAATCCCATCCATCCCTGCCCATTCCCTGTGTCCTGTCCCTCCATCCCTTGTCCCAAGTCCCTCTCCAGCTCTCCTGGACCCCTTTAGGCACAGAGGTGTCCCTGGATCCTTCTCCTCCCCAAGCTGAGGAGCTTGGCTGCCTCCAGGCAGGAGCAAACAGATCCAGCACCTGGAGCAGTGTGGGAAATGGATTTGCAGAGAGTTCTCAGGGCCTGACAGAAGGCTCACACATCTCTATGCAAACTTGGAGATATGAAATGCTGACTTAAAAATGCCATGGACTAGGACAGATATTCTTGAGAGAGAAATGGGGCCAGGAAAAAAGTTTCAAAGGATGGCCTTGCAAATAAGACTAAATACTTGGGAGAATTAGAACTGTGAAAAATGCATTGTAGTAGAAGCCACGAGGGATGATTTTAGATGATTGGCTTTAAGGCATTTTACAGCATGATGTGATCAAAGCTGATAAGCTCAGAAACACTTATAATGTATTGTAATTAGGAAATAGTTGGCTTCTGATTGTAATGGTGTGAATTGGAATATCTGCATTGTCTCACCCTTCATATGAGACTGAAAATAGAATAAAAGTTTTTTAAAACACCTCTCCAGTTGCCCCATCTCTGGATCAGAAAAGGGCAAAACCCAGCAGAGCAGCTGCTCCAATTCCATGGAAAAGGCTCCACAAGGTAAAACCCTGCACTTTTCATCTCCTGCCCCTGTGCTCTCCTCCCATCCCAACCCTAAGGCATGGAGCTGCACAGGATGCCTTCCCATGGAGCAGGGCACAGCAGAAAGCTTGGGAATGTCACCTGGCCCCTCACCCTTTCCCTGGAACACGTTTTTCAGGCTCAGGATGTTCCTGGCCAAAGTCCTGCCCCAAAGCCTTTGAACACAACAATTCACAGCCCTGTGCTTACTCCCCAACCTGTTCCATCACATTTATCTCAGTATTGAGGGTGGTTTGTGTTTATAATTGATTTGCTGTACTGGTTTATTAAACAGGTATCAATGCTTTGACTTGCACATTTTGTCCTCATGACTCGAGCAGAATTTCAGCCAGAACCAGATTTTGACACAAACAGGAGGTGTTGCTAATTTGGGGGAATTTCTACCTTAGTTTTTTTATAAAATCTGAAAGTAGAGGAAAAAAAGCAAAGGCAGGTATTAAAGCAACTTTGGGTGGAGTTTAAGGAAAATTGTTGCTGTGTTTCCTAGGCTACAGCAGAGATATTTTATCTGCAGCCAGGCATGGTGCTGCAGCCTAAATGGAGTAACAAGAGCCAGTCCTAAATCTGCATGAGGGACCAGAGCAAGGAGATTTGGAGCATTTTGTCAGGACTGCAGTAGGACCTGAAGGAGAAAATTCAGATGTGTTTAACAGCACAGCTCTCCCATCACACACCAGCAGTTCCCTTCTGGCTTTGCCAGTGTGAATTTGGGATTGAGGCTGTATCTCAACAGCTTCCCTGACACACCCACACATTGTTCTCTTCGAACAGGATGTTAGAAAATCAACAGTAAAATGATGGAAATTTTTTTTCGTGGGTTTGTTTTTCTTTTTTAAAAAGATGAAAAGATTATTTACAAGAAAATGAGACATGTTTTATAAACATCCTCTTCTCAAACTTATTGTGTCTCACCCTAGGAATTCTGAAATTTCTTATAAACATGTTAGATCTTCACAATCATCCACATGTAGAGAAAACCTAAATCCAAAGCATTTGCATTTTAACTTTCTGTTGTTGTGCCCCAAAACAGTTGTTTGATGTGAAATCTAGTGAAGTATGAATATGCCAAAACTCCTAATCCTAATATAAAAAAATGCTGAACATAAAATCATAGAATCCTGGAATGGTTTGGGTTGGGAGGGACCTTAAAGCTCATCTCATCCCACCCCTGCCCTGGGCAGGGACACCTCCCACTATCCCAGGCTGCTCCAAGCCCCATCCAAGCTGGCCTTGGACACTTCAGGGATGGGGAATATGCAGGAGGATGCTCCAAGACTCCCCAGCTGATGTTCTTGGAATAATTCCTGATGACAAATTCATCTTATCCCAGCCAGCTGCAGCAGCACTGCATTGTTTATTCTGCATTTGCTGGAGTTGCTCCCCTCTCATCATTTTGCCCTTGCCAATCTCATCCTTTGTCCAGTCACACAAAATCTCCCTGTGCCAGTGGCCTGAAGCTCAGGGATTGGATGAACCTTTGGTAGCAAAAGCAGCATTCCATAAACCCAAGGAAAGTCACGTGGAATGTGAGGGCATTTCCTCATTCTTTCCAAAGCACTTCAACTCCTGGACTTTTCCTCTCTCCCTCTGGTTTTGCACAGCCTCTGAGCTGGTGCCCTTTGGGACACTGAAGGGTCTGTTCTCACTGGAGCAGGCACAGGGCCAGGCTGTGGGAATTGTGTTACATTATCTGAGTGTCCTGATGGAGATGGGCTGTGTCCTCCACCCTGCTGTGGCACTGCCAGTGTTACTCCAACCCAAGGAACGCTCAGAGCACAGATTTTGCCTTCCACAGCTTCCTGGCAAGCAAATCTGCCACTCAATTTCACATCCTATCTTTTCTATGTCTTCCACCACATCCTCATTACAGAAAAGCCCCAGTCTTGGGAAGGATAAAGCTCACCATGAGTACACAGAATTCAGGGAGGTGTATTCTGAGATGAAGGAAAATTTAGCCAGGACAGCTTTGTGTTCCACAAAATATCAGCCACAATTGGTATTCTCAAAACCCCATTTCCTTGGGAAGCAAGGGCCATTTCCCCAGGATTGCAGTAAGGCACATCATCCATATGCAAATGTGCCAGCAATCATTAAATGAACCTGCAGAAGCTGCAATTTTCCTGGAAAGGCCCCCTGCCCTTCCCCCATAGAGATTGGGGAAATAACTCAGCTATCACACAGATCAATCCTGCATTTTCCTCTTTCAGTTCAAAAGCAAAGCAAGGCAGTGACACAAAAGAAAAAGGAATGGACACATCCAACAGTCCCTCACATGGATTGCAGCCCAAGGAAATGCTGCTCAAAATAAAAACAGGGGACACATTTTTGTTAACATTCAACACAATCCACTCCCTTGGCTTCTGCCAAAGTGAGAATGTGAAATAAGAAAACATTGGCAAGGCCCTGAAATCATCAGGCTTGCACAAGAGGCTGCCTTACTTCCTTGGAGCCTGGTGCCATTGTTGGTGTTCCTGAGGAGCTGGAAAGCCTTCTGGAAGCCCAGGGCGTGCTGTGTGGAGCTGTCAGATGCCTTGATGCTGCTGACAAAGGTGGACATCTTCCTCTTGGTCTCACTGGTGGCAGGGGACAGGAAGGTTTTGTAGCACTGGTCCAGGGAACACGTCCGGACTGCGTCTGCCACCGTCAGCACCGAGATCTGCAGGGAGGAGATTCCATGGGATCAGCTCCCCTGGAG